AAAGATAAAACTCTATTTCTCTTTCTCCATTCCCTATTTTCACCTTTGCTTGGAGGATTCTCTGAGTGACTAGGAGAACAGGTTTCTACACCCTACCCTTCCACCATCACATAGTTCAGAGAGATGCTGCATCTGTTTTTCAAACTGAGGAGGTTCCTGTGCATGTGTTTGTCCTGTGCAGATGTACAGTGGTAATGGGTAGAGGTGGAGGAGATATTCTTCAGAATACAAAACAGCTGCGTTTAGCCTTGCTCAGAGACACCATCTTTTGCATTCTGCATAAGGAGCCTAGAACAGACTGCATGGCATGCTGTATATCTGGATGGGGATGCCTCTGAGAGTTGGAAGGGATGTGTTAGCATACATTTAGGTACTGCCACCACTGTCTCTCCTCTGTACGCAAGAATCAGATGAATTAATATGAGCATAAATTGCTGCTTTGAGAAAATCTGTTTAGAATTATTTCTGAAAGAGCAACGTTTTAGCACTTGTAATTCTCAGCTTTCCAACACTCCATTTGGAGATATCTGAGTTTGTTGAACATACTGTAGAAGGATCAATAACAGCTCGTTTACTTGGGCTAAAGTAGAAACATATTTCCTGTTATATACTAGAGGGCTTTTCATCACAAATGCTATCAACTAGCAAGCTGGATGGTATTCAAGATTACCCAGGATGCTTGATTCTAATGAGGGAAAATTTCATCTCCAAAAGCTGAGGTCCAAGAAAATATTGATACATTGGGAGCCTCAAAATATTGGCTTACTTTGTGATACTAAGGACAACCTTCTCTTATTTCTCATGTTCTCATGTAGCTTTAGCAATTAGGTTATTCCACTCAACATCAAGCAGCCTGCCATTTCAGATTTAGCTGTATATGATCTGGCTTTGAGATCAAGGCAGATTTGTGTTCTTGGCAAGGCTTTTAGCCAGTTCATTCTGGTTCTAATCCCTGCTGAAAATTTGCATTTCTAACAAGTTCCCAGGAAGTTATACATAGAAATCACCTGGGGATCACTGGTGATTCTTACATACAACTTCCTGGGAAGTTGTTAGAAATGCAAATTGTCAGCAGGGGTTTGAACTGGAATGAACCAGTCTGAAGCCTTGGTTCCTTGGCTCCTTATTGTGTTGACTACTTTTTCATAGTGATGTCTTCCGGCACTCTGATATTAACTGCAGAAAAGATGCACCACTTGATGCTCCCCAGCTGCACGGTATGCTGCAAATATCTATTTGGAAGGGCTGTGGTTGGGCTAAAGTTTCATAAAAGCACAGTGGGAGGAGGGCAGTGATGGAGTTGAGGAGTATAAGGGCTGGACTGTTACATATACAGCTTGAGAGCCTGAGCCAGATGAGTAGCTCAAAGGTAGGACCCAGCTTGTGGAGCAATGCAAAATAAAATATTATTATAATCTTATATTATAACAAGATATTCTAAAATATTAGAATGGAGTAGGCTGAGAGATCAGCCTTAGACCAGATTTGGGAGGCTAGTTTCATTTATATCTTTACGTGAGATTCTGTGGCACAACAGTGTAGACCACACTTTTGAAATAAACCCTTCATTTTGGGAAGGGTCTGGTAATGAGGAAGAGCTAAATATATCAGGGCTACTGTATGGGAGATTATGTCTGCCTGTTGATCATTTTCTTAACTTTTGGGATACCATATACTTCTGGCTTTCCTTGTATCTCGTAGTTCTTGTTAGTCTGCTTTGCCAGATCATCCTCATCCTCCTGACCTCCAAATGCTCAGTCCTTACATCTCTTGTCTTTTTCTATTTATACTTTCTTTTTATCCATACCATGGATTTTTATTTATCATCTTCATGTTCCTAACTCCTAAACTTTTACATATAAATCTCAAGGTTTATATATCCAATTGTCTATACTATATTTTTGCTTGGCTGTTTTATAGGAAATTCAACATATCCAAAGCCAAATTTTTGCTTTTCTTCCCCTGAAACTCCTCTAGTTTTACCTAACTCAGCGCATGGTACCATCCTCTACCCAGTTGCTTCCATCAATACCTCTTCCTTTCCCTGCTTTAACTTTTCTTTGTAACATTTATTAATAACTGAAATGTTGCATAGTAATTTGTTTACTTTGTCTATCTCCCTGTTTTGCTCATCATTGTATCCAAAGGTCCAGCAAAATGCCCAATACCTACTAGGTGCTCAATAAATGTTTGCTGAATGAATGGGAAGAGGTCTTAAAACAGGTGCCATATTTCTGAAGTGAGACATCAGTCAGGGTAGGTGCTAGCAGAAGTGGTAGTGGTGCTGAGAAGCAAGAGTGCCTTTGCTCTAGATAGAAGATGCCATTAAGATTAGAGACCCTTGAGCCAGAGCTTTCCAGTGTGTAAAATAGCATTCAGACTTTTGGAATTTCCTGAGCTCCATGGAGCATCTTGAATTATTACTGTGGTGGACTGTTATAATAATGGCCCCCAATAAATCATACCTTCCAGTTCTACTCTGTCACATCTGGTTGCTATGAGTTGAAAATCGACTCGATGGCACCCAACAACAACAACAGTATTTATTCTTTTGAGTAGCCTCTTGCCACACTGATTTTAGGCTTGTCCATATGACTTATTCTGACCAATGGGATACTAGCAAACATGACACGGAGGCTTAATAATCACTTGGACACAGAGCTTGCCTCTTGGAGTGTTCTGCCATAATGTGAAGAAGTCCGGTCTAGCCTCCTTGAAGATGATGTCCCACTTGGAGAGATAGAACCAGACATCCCAGCTGAGGCTTCAGACATGTTGTCTATCCCCAGTCAACCCATCACCTGAATACAGCCACATGAGTGAACCCAGGTGAGACCAACAAAAGAACTGCCCAGTCAACCCACAGAATCATGAGAAATAAATGTTTGTTGTTTGAAGCCACTAAGTTTTGGAGTGGCATTTTATGTAGCAATAGGCAACTGGTAAAGAAATTGTACCTAGAAGTGATGGCTTAAGAAAAACCTAAAGCACATTTACGACTTGCTTTGCCCAATATAATGTGGCACATAAGATAAAGCCTTGAAGCTTCTACTTTTGTTCTCTGCAAACTCTGGGATCACTTAACTCTGAAAAACATTAAGATGAAAGACCACATAAAGAGAGAGGTCCATCATGTGCACAGACGCCCGCCCCCCCACCCTGCCATGTTTTGTCCTGGAGCCCTTTTCCTTAAGAGTTATTTCTCAGATAGGCATCCTTAGGCTATATGCATTCTTTTAGGCCATCAAGATATTCAGTAAAGATATGTTTCCAAGGAATGGAAGCTATAGCACAAAATAGGAATGATCTACTTTACCTGGATGCAAGAGACCTTGGAATAACAATGGTGATTCTTGTCCATTCTTCAAAGTCCCCCGTGTGATACATGGTGGGCTCACTGAGTTCTCTGGAGTTGCCCTCACATCCTTTGCCTGCAGAAGCTGGGTAACAGCCTTCTTTCACCAGAAACCAGGACATACCAGCATCATGAGAGTACTGAAGGAGAACTGGGGAAGCGTTGCTGAATTGATTGGCACACCCTATGTTTAGCTATTAAAGGAAGGACAGAATTATACAAGGCTTTGGTTCAAAGTCATCATTCAACAAAATAGGTGCTACAGTAGCCAGGATCCTTCCTACTGAGCCTGTATTAAATTTACAACAATAAGCAGCTCAATCCCAACCAAAACTGGTCCACAGATTCTGGAATTCTCTGTCTAGGCAAGCGATAACAAACAAACAAAAAAACTCAATTGCTATTGAGTCAACTCTGACTCATGGCGACCCCATGTTTGTCAGATCAGAACTGTGCTCCATAGGGTTTTCAATGGCTAATATTTGGGAAGTAGATATGCACACCTTTCTTCCGAGGCACCCCTGGCTAGACTTGAACTTCCAACCTTTTGGTAAGCAGCTGAGTACAAACAGGTGTTTTGAATAGAAGGTTGGACCAGCTGCTCATTTTGCGGATTTCTTGGGATTTGTAAGAGGGAAGACAGGAGCAGAGCATCTGTGGTGTTGGAGTCTCAGAAAAAAGATAAACAGCTAAGACACTGCTTTTTCCTTTCTTCTCAGAGGGTATAAACGGAGGAAAAGAAAAGATGGAGAAGCAGCCACCCTCTTCAGGATAAGGAAGGTTACCTGAAGAGAGGGCTGTCCTCTCTGCTTCCAGTGGAACAAACATCTTTATTCTGCTTTCTTGCAAAAGCTCAGTAAGAAATCAGTGCCAACTTAGATAAAAGAGCTGTTTTTTTGTTGTTTTTTTTTCCCACAGTATCAAGTAAGCAACGTAATCCAGAACTAAAACTAGTACTGTTCTGTGCATTCATGTAGGGGATTGTCATCACAGGAACAGCAACATTTAAGAAAGCATTTTTAAAAATGCAACTTAAATCCCAATACTGTAGCACAACTGTTTTTATTTTTCTGTGTTCTCTTCTGATATTTACAAGGAAATGTATATTTTGGTCATATACTTGTAATTATTACACTTCTAGAACTTTTCTTCTATTTTTTGTGTAATGTATTAGTATTATTTGGTTATTACTTGTAGCATTGCAAAGAATCGTTTTTTCTTCAGTTGATTTGTTATCACCAGATAAATTCCTACTGGTAATACTACTGAGGTAAAAATATAGAACCAGTTTAAAATTTCTAGGTATATGTGTTCATTTAGTATTGACTGGGTTCAAATGAATCAGTTTTACTACAACACTGGGTATTATTACAGTTTAAGATAGTTTCTTTCTAAATTAATAAACCTATAAAGGAATTTTATTGCTGTTTTGTTTACATTTTTTGATCAGTGTAAATGGCAAACTCTTTTCCTGATATTTACTTAACCACACATTGTCTTATATGAATGGCCTATTATTATCTTATTTCATTTGTTGGTTGGAACCATCATAGGATTTTATTGCAAAATATTTTATAAAGAAGAATAGTCAAATTTTATAGAAGAAAAATTGAAGTAAGTAATCAAAAAAACATGATTCTGCCCAAAGAATAAAGGATGAAGGAAAAGTAGAGCCATAGGCAAATAATATTGGGCCAGAAGTCAAGAGGTCAACCCTTTCATCCCTGTGACTATAAGGTAGCTTTACTTAGTCTTTCCAAAGAAGATTTAATAATCTTCCTATTTCTATACTCAGAGCTATTTAAAGCATCCCTGAGAAGGATTTACAATTTGGTTAGTAGATATTTTATCGGACTCATCTATCCGAATTTATATAAACAAACCCATTGCTGTCGAGTCGATTCTGACTCATAGCAATCCTACAGGGCAGAGTAGAACTGCCCCACAGGGTTTCCAAGGAGGGCCTGGTAGATTTGAACTGCCGATCTTTTGGTTAGCAGCCAAACTCAACCACTACGCCACCAGGGTTTCCCCAAGTTTACATAGGAAAATCTCAATACAATCATAATTAAATATTATAAAATATGAGATATAATTTATAATAAAATACAAATATAATTATTACTATAACTGAACATCTGTAATCATGCACCCCTCAGATGCATGATTAAACTCTTCTAACACCACTCCCTTTTATTATATTACCCATACTAAATAGCCTCTGGTTAGCATGTGGTGAGAGTGGCCACACTGGGCCCACATAGTTAGCTTTTCATCTTAGACTTACTATGACTTCCGCTGTTTCTAAGGTAGGCAAGCCATTGGAAATTTCAGTTCTCTGACAGGTTTGTGCTTTAGAAATTAGGTAATGTTGTGGTGTAGACACACTCTCAGGTATATTAAATATATAATTCATCTTAAACTTTCCATTCATGATTCATTCATAATACAATTCAACAAATATTTACTGGAGCACCTTTGAAGATTCAGGCATATATACTCAAGTCTCCCTACCTTTAAAAACAAAACAAGAGAAAATAAAATTCTCCCTGGATTTAGGTCTGTCTCTAACTACATAGCTAAACATCTTGAGAGAAGGCCATACCCATTGTGTAGTCTATTCACTCACCATTCTTCAATCCATTGTAATTTGTTTTTGCTCTTACCAACCCAGTGAAATTATCAAGGAAACTTCTACCTAACAGGAAAATTCAATCTTTATTTTACTTGCCTCTTCTGTTGCTTCTGACATTGTTAACCATTTCTTTTTTTTAAATTGAGCATCTAGCCTGCCTCTAAGGTGTTGGTGTTTTCTAGGATTCAGTTCTTGGTTTTTATTTTCTTCATCTATATATGCTCTCTTAATCTCATTCATCATCATAATTTCAAATTCCTCCTGAATATGGACGATTTCAAATACGGCCTCTCTCCTGCTCTCTGGACAAATGTACTGCTTCTGTGTATTTCCACTTCAGCAGCTCATTGTTGTTAGTTGCCGTCAAGTCTGCTCTGACTCATGGTGGCCCCATGTTCAACAGAACTAAACGTTGTCTGGTTCTGCGCCATCTTCACAAGTGTTGCTATGCTTGAGTCCCCTGTTGCGCCCACTGTGTATTTTGAGTGCCTTCCAACCTAGGGGACTCATCTTCCAGCACTATATTGGAAAATATTCTATTGTTATCCACAGAGTCTTCACTGGCAAATTTTTAGAAGTAGATCACCAGGCCTTTCTTCCTAGTTTTAGTCTGGAAGCTCTGCTGAAACCTGTCCACCTATCTCATTTCCACCTCCCTAAAATAATTCCTCTTCTTTTTGTATTTCCAGTTTCAGTGACTGGGGCCAGAAGTGTAGGAGTCATTCTAGAAGCCATTATATCACTAAGTAAGTTTTCAAAATTTGTTGTATACTTTTAATATCTCTCAGATCCATCTACTTATCTTTATACCCCTATGTTATGCTGTAATCTGACCTTCTGAGTTCTCACTTTGGTTATTGATTCTTACTTTATTCAAAATGTATCCAAAAATCTGACCACTTCTCTCTGCCTCTTTCACTATCACACAGGTCCAAGTTCCCATCATCTCCCTCTCTCTCTTTTTTCAAAAATAATATTTTATTGTATTTTCAGTAGAAGTATACATAGTAAAACAGATTCCCATTCAACAACTTCTACACATATTGTTCAGTGACATTGGTAACATCCTTCCCATTGTATCAACATTTTCATTATTTATGTTCTAGTTGTTCCGTTCCCGTTAGTCTAGTCTCACAACCCCCCAACCTTCTCATCTATGCTTTAGAGTGCTCTCATCATTCCTTATTCGGACCACTGTCATAGTCACCCAACTGGTCTCTCTGCTTCTGTCCTTGACCCTGTCAGTATATCCCCAACATAGGCACAAGAGTGATTCTTTAAAAGCCTACGCCACAGCATGTCACTCTTCTGCTAGCCATTTTACTCAGATCAAAAGTCAAAGTCTGACTTTATTTTTTCTGTGTGTCCCCCTTGCTCACTTTCTTTGCTCTGATCACAATGGCATCCTTGTGATTTCCTGAACCTTACCAAGCACACTCCCACTTCAAGGCATTTTCACATTTTTCCCCTGTGCCTGGAACACTCTTCTCCAGGTATCTGTATGACTCTTTCATTTACTTTCTTTAGGTTTCAGCTTAAATGTCACTTTATTAATGAGGCCAAACCGGACAACCCCTTATAAAACAGTTACCACCTTCCACCACCCCAGTCCACACTTTCTACTCCTATTTATTTTCAGAGGCTACAACACTGCCTGGTACATAGTAGCAGCTTCAGAAATATTTGCTGAATGAATGAATGTACTTGCTGACTCTGGTTTCACCTGTTAAGTCAACACCCATATTGCTGCCAGAATGATCCTTCTAAAACAAGGTCTGATTCTGTCATGAGACAAGCCTCATCTCTCACCTCTGCAGCACATACTCCCAACTCCTCAATTGTCGAATTCACCATTCCCATTTGCCCTTTCATGTATCCACATGTATTGGCACATTCTGTTTTCTCTAACTGGAATTCCTCCCCTTCCGTTCTTCAGTTGACTAAATCTTTGCATTTGCAGAGGCTTCCAGTTTCAACTCAGTCATTCATTCACTTATTCAACTCTCCATTTATTCGACCAACAGATATTTTTTGAGCTCCCCTATCAGCCGCTATGCAAGGTACTCTCATAGCATCTAGCGACTACTTCTATTACAGCAGTCCTGTGATTGTATTGCAACTGTTTACTCTTCTGGCTCATTCACTAGTTTTTGAGCTCCTTGAGGGCCAGGGCCATATTTTTCATTTCTATATTCCTAGTACCTAGTACCAAGCAGTCACAAAAAATATACTATCACTATGCATTTTTGTTCAAATGAGACCAAAAATTCTTTTTTTGTAGGTTTCTGGTAGACATTAATTATCAATCTCTGAATAACCCATACTGCGTAGCTATTATCAACAAACTGCCACAAATCAATAGCTTACTGCTGGTGTGACGCGAGAATTTAGATTTTTCTTAAGCATTATGCATTCGTGCTGTTTGCTTAAGTAGTTACAACATTTAATAATGTTTTCTATACTTAGATTTTTTAAACTTCAGAATACCACTTTGCAGACTTTAACACACTAGCATGATTCTGTGACTAATTAAGTAGAAAAGGTGTCAGCTGAGAAACAGCATAGTATTCTGCAAAGTATTTGCTAGTAATGCTATCTTGTTACCATTTTATGTGGTATCAACAAATGAGTATAGATTCATATACTATTACAGATGATTTTTTCATTTCAGCTTAGCATCAAAATCCAAATGGGGAAGGATAACGTTTAAAAAATATTTACTGTTGTTATAGCATATGTAACAATTTTTTTGCCTTTTCAACATTCAGGAAAGATAACATTTTATTAATCATTTTATTTATGATTAACTTCCTTGTTTACAGACCTGTGAAAATTATATTTGAAGAGAGCTGCCTATAAACATCTGATCTCTTTAATAATTCCATTTGTAAATTATTTAGCATCTGCATCCTGCCATTATGTAAGGACCATATAGTTGTGCTAGCTCATTAAAATTGCATTACTTTCGACCCCAGAACTCACCAATGGGATTTTATTATAGACACAGTGAAAGTTTGATTAGAATTCTGAAACAAGAGCTTGTCAAACTAAATACTTGCTATACATGTTGACATGTTATCACAGTGCTGAAAAACAACAAACTTTTAAGAGAACAGTGATAACTGGAGTAAAAATTTAGTGATTGAACAGAATAGACATTGTCAGAAAATCCTGCAGTAAAATCATAAAATAGCTCCTAAGTCCTAAAACCACTTATAAGCTGAAAACGAGAACTCATCCATTACCATTCAGAATCATGGAATTCATTGTCACAGTAAGGCTGAAGTCCTAAAAGTCTATTTTCTTTTTAACTCTGGTGGAATTCCATGAGCACTTAAAGAAATACAATGACACAGACACAACTTCTGAAGCTCATTAAAAGCTGACAAGTGGTTTTCCTTATGACTAGAGCAAAAAAGCTCTGCCATTCTAAGGTTGTTGAAGTTTCACTGAAGTGAGTCTTCTCTTTAATAGAATATGAAAAATTTGTGTTCTTTGTGACTTTTAAGTTTTAAATCTGGAAGATGTTTTGCTCCTTAATAGGCTCTGTGAAGAAGTTTGTGTATAAATACCTTGAACTGTAGCACATATCCAGGTTTCAGAGTTAAATCTCGAGTTACTGCAAATCGATCCCCATCTGATTTCCCAAATACCATAGCTGATGGCGTGACAGAGCAGAAGGTTTCATTTTTAACCATTCCTTCATTAGCCAACATCAACCACACACTCATTTGGTTCATAGGGTAATCAAAAGCTGGCTTCTCGTAAAAGTTCTAATAGAAACAATATAAACAACACAGACAGGCAATTTGATAGCTCTGAAAACAAGAAAGGAATTTTCAGTTCTTGACATGCAGGGCCATGTACCATTTGCATTTCTACAAAAAAGCAGCAGAATCTCTAAATTAACTATTCTTTACTGCCATTAACTTTTTCTACCAATGATTTAACTACTGAAAATATTTTGCCACTGTGTATCTAATAATTTTATAAACATATGGATAATTTTCCTTGACGACCTGTCAGATTCCTGATCTTTTTTACATCTAAATTATTCGTGAACTAGTAGCAGTGACAGGTAACCAAAAACATTAAGTGCAAACACCAGGGGAAAAAAAAAAAAACCAGTTGCCATTAAGTTGATTCTGACTCATAGCGACCTATGTGTGTCAGAGTAGAACTGTGTTCCACAGGGTTTTTAATGGCTGATTTTTTCGGATGTAGATTGCTAGGCCTTTCTTCCAAGGTGCTCCTAGGTGGACTTGAACCTCCAATCTTTCGGTTAGCAGCCAAGCATGTTAATTGTGTGCACCTCCCTGCTACTCCAGGCACAAACACAGAAAATTTATGTTACACATACCATGTTAAACACTAAATCCTTAAAAAAGTGTGTAGTTCTTTAATCTCATCCACTTTGACAACCTCTGTCTTCTTGGAGCTCAGACAGACGGGAAATACCTGGGGTAAAGTTGGGTTGACAACTGGGATAATCTGCTTCTCCTTCTCAGAGAGAATGATGATGTCATCGACTGCCCATTGGTCATAGTCCTCCCCTGAGAACACAGGCTGCCACCAGCGGAACCTGGTACAAGGAGTCTTGGCAGCAGCTGGAAGCTCCAGATAGACAAATCTGCATAAAAGCAAATCATTTATGGTTGGGAAAGGAAAAGCTATGTTTTCCTTAGCAGTTTTTTAAAATAACAAGGATAGCAACAAGAAAACATTTTGTTTTGTTTGATCTCTTGATATTTTTGAAAAGTTTCTAAGTTTGGACAGATCAAACAAGAGATTTAAAGCTGAAAGCAAGTTCAGTCCTGGTCAGGTTTATTTCATTTGGAATTGTATCTCTTGAAGACCAGACGAAATATTTCCATTGAGTTTGATTCACTGAACTGGATCTTTTGACTACCACAACAACGGTCATAACATTTTCAAGAAATATTAAGAAAAAATGTTTCTTCATGTTACATTAAAATAGAATTCATAAAACTTTTCAAAGCAATTCTTGCTTCTTGTGGGAAAACATAAATATGCATTAAAAATAAAAAATAAATCACCTATAATCCACTGCATGGTGTTGGCCACTGCTAACATTTTGATAGGTATCATCACAGATGTAATCTTTCATATAGATGAGTTATATGTATAATTTAGTTCCTACATTTTAAAACTTAACATTATATCAAACATACATTCTTATGTCATGAAAATTAATTCTTAAGATCACTGTAATGTCTACATAATTTTTTATTACATGAACATAATATTAACTTTTTGCTATTATAAGTAGTTCTGTGATAAAAATCTTTATGTATAAAGCTTTACCTACACCTTAGTTTCTTCCTTATATCTTTAAGGAAGATAACTAGAAATGGAATTATTGGGTCAAATAAACTGGTCATGTTTAAAGCTCTTAATTTTGCCAAATTCCTTTCCAAAAGGGTTGTAATAGTTCGTAGGAAGACATGAGAGTGGCCTGCTGTACTACTGTTCCCATGCGGTGAGAACATTTGGTGTAATTAAGACAAATGACCATTTGTTGAGAAACAGGATATTTTTTAATGAATATTATTCATATTTTATCAAACATTTGTGTTTCTCCTTTTGCAACTTGTCTACTCATCTCTTCCGCCGATTTTTCTACTGAATTTTAGTGTTTTTCTCGATAATTTCTTTAAGCGCTTTACATGGACATTGACCTTCTGTCTCTTGTATTTGTTACAGATTTTTTTTCTCAATTTGTTCTCCTCCTTTTCATTTATTTATGTTTTCTTTGATATAAATGTTTTACGTTTGCATGGAGTACATTTCTATGTATGTAAGTACTCTTTCTTTGTGAATTCTTCTATTGAATTCGTATTTAGAAAGTTTAGATCTTTATCCAAGATCAGATAGTAACCTATTACCTAAATGTTTAAATCTTTAATCAGTCTTTAATAGTTTTTGTGATGGTATAAGGTGATAATCGAAACAGATATTTTCTCCTAACTTCTTAGCCATTTTTTTCTAACATCATTTGATTGAATAATTTCTCAATGATAGTTGATTTGCCTTTTTTATTTATAAGTTCTTACACACATCTGGGTCAGTTTCTGAGTCATCTATTTGGTTTCATTGATTGTTCTGCCTATTCATGTACAGGTATCATTCCATCTTAATTATTTTAGCTTTATAACATGCTTTCATATCACATAGGGAACTTCTCTATTTTTTTCCCTAAAATTTAAACTATTTTTGCCTTATATTTTTAGATATGAAGTTCCAAAAATACCACTGGGATTTTGATCAGAATGATATTAACTTTACAATTAAGAGATATGTTTATATCACAATACTCAGTTTTCCTATCCAGAGACACTGTATTGTTTTCCATTTACTTGTTTTTTTTTATATCTCTGAAGGAAATTTTGAAGTTTTGTAGTTTTCTTCACAGAGATTCTCAGTATCATTTGTTAAAGTTATTCTTTATACTTATGTATTTGCCCCTATGAATGGGGTTTTTTCCCATATCTTCCAATACAGAGTTTAACTATTTTAGCATCACAGAATTTTTTAAGAATTTGGTGAAAAGTATGATACTCTCCAGAAAAATGCCACTTTACATACTATTTGAAGGAGTTCATAGGTCTCGAGTCCAGGTTAAGAACTGTTAAAACTGAATATTGCTAGTATTTGAAGGAGCTATTGAATTTTTATTTGCCTACACAGTTATCTAGTCACTCTACTGAACTCTTAATAAAATCTCCAGGCTGACAATTATATTACTTGGGAAAAATAATTTTGTATCATTTTATGTTATTGTTCAAACCAGTTTGGCACCATTAATAATTCTTTCTCTACTGCTCTGCATCTCTAGCAATCTCATGAGGCTCCATTTACCAACCATTCCGGACTTTCTTCTTTGATGTTATGTCTTCTGTTTTACCCACTTGCCTCTTTTCTGGTTTCTGCCTGTGTCCCTTAGGAGAAATGCTTTCGGTTGGTCTGTCTTCATGTCTTGTGTTATATTATGAAGAGTTATGCTACCTTTACATGACTGAATGTCTTAAAAAAACAAATTTCTGAACCTTCAAACTACAAAATAGGTATATTTTAAGAAGTATGTTTAAAATATATTTGATTGATAAGAATTTGATCTATATATTCTTCAACGGTAAATATATTCAATAAAACAAAGTAATATTAACACATTAATATTTAATAATGATTGGTGGTCAATATATAAAGAAAAAATTTTGTGTTTGTGTTAAAGTAGAAATACAGAGGCTAAAAAAGGAATACTCTAAAACTGATGGATATCCTTGAGTAGGTTTTAATGATATTTAATATTTAGAATGTAAAAATTTGAAAATAATACATAACTGCAAAAGAACTAAATTGAAATATACATAAATATATTGATTGCCTGGTATAGGTATTGATATTAAATGTGAGTCACTTTCCCAAGTACTTTAGTAGTCATTGCCTAAGACATTTTATTCCATATATTCTCATCCATCGAAACGAAGACAGGCAAGGGACAGCCCAAAACTGTAGAGAAGCCAAGCTCCGCAGACTCATGTCATACTGTGTGAGGACTAGCCCAGTGTGCAGCCCCGTCAAAACTTTTAACAAAATCTGTCTTGCTGTTAAACCTAACAGCTGAACATATTTTTTGCATACATTAAAAAACCCACAAATGGAAAAAGTCTGAGTTTTTCTAACTAGTGCAGCGAGCTTGGAACATTCCTGTACCACAGAGTTTCTTTGGGAAAACAGTGGTTAATCACCTCGCTTTTCTTTTAGTCACAATTCTTTTCAAAGTCTTCAAAATTCAAACGTGAACACAAACGCTTTTCGTCCACACACTTAACTGAAATGAAATCCTTATATATGAGGCTATCATTCATGTCAATTATATATGAGTTTGTCTTTTTTTGCAGTTCAGAACATTTTGGGAACACCTCAACAACAATGTATGCAATCTTTACCATTCCTGGGAACCACTGGAAGGTCCATGGGGTGGGTGGTTACCTGGGTTTGCTGAAGTCTGAGAAGTACATCTCTGCCAGCAGGTACCACTGGATGCCTCCGTTGTTGCTATACTGAAGGAGGACGCCCTCCTCTCTGCTGTCCGGCTTGTTGCATGCAGCACTCTCTCCGCCTATCTGGATGTAGAACTGGACAAAGTCCACCCAAGAAGTATCCAGATCCCAGCTCACCAACTGTCTTTTCCCAGCCTTTCCAAAGGACAGAAAAACCACAGATTCAATCATCTTGGAGGCTTTGGCATTTTGTTGCTTCAGTTTCAATTTAATATGCACATCCTAGCACTATGTGGAGAAAGTTATGCCATTTAGTTGTCTCTGTAACTGTTCCTAGATCCGCTTGATCAGTCCCTGCTTCATTAATTGCCAGATTCAGTTATGAAACCCTTGGGAGCTGCTAATAATACCAAAGAGTATTTGAAAGTCTTTAAAAATAAAGAAAAATTATTTTTAATTAAAACAGTCCCAATCCTTGCTTTGTAAATTTCCTCCAAGCAGGATAATGGAAAAGAAAGATCATGTACTTTGAAATCAGAGTGGAGTTTGAATCTCAGCCCACTATTCACAGTGTTCACTAGCTGTGTGACCTTTCTGAGCTTTTATTTTCCTCAAAGGCACAATATGGATAATAATACCTTCCCCATAGGGTGCTGTGACAATTAGATGAAACAACATGTTGCATATAACTTGCCTGCCACATGGATGTCTTCCTTCAAGAACACTCTCTCCAGAGATATGCCCCAGACCCACCTCTGCCATGGTGACTGAAGTACGACGGGCAAGATGGAAACTTCTTGACAAAATGAGAGTAGTAGCAAAGTCTCTCAGTATCTCCCTCTGTCTGTTTCTCTCCCCCTCAAACTAGAGAGATTGGGAGGGACCTTTTTAATACTTTTTTCTGAAACACTAAATGGTATCTTTGTGTCTTAAGTGTTAAAAGTTTCCTCAAATTCAGCCACTTGCTTCCTTTGCTTAGTGTGTCCCCTGAATGAGTCCTGTTGTGAGATGTTAGATACAAATTGACAAGGCTTGTCATTGTTTCTGTTGTGTTTAAATGGTTTCATGTTAACAGGACTGAAAAAAGGTTTGCTCATGAGGTTCTTCCATCCAAACAGATTCTGCCAAAGCTAATCCATGGGCTTCCCTAAACTGACCTCAGAGAGGTCCTAAAGAGTTCAATTAAAAATGGGAAAGAAAATCTGAGATAATATATATAGCATAGAGAAAAACACCTCTCACACTTACAATTCCAAACCTACTCTAATCTATTAAGGAAAGATAAAAAAAACCTCTTGCCATCAAGTCGATTCAGACTCAGAGCAACCCTACAGGACAGAGTAGAACTGCTCCAGAGGGTTTCCAAGGATTGGCTGGTGGATGTGAACTGCCAACCTTTTGGTTAGCAGCTGAGCTCTTAACCATTGTGCCACCAGGGATCCAGTTATTAGAAGTCACATGAGAAATATTTGGGGCTAATTAAAAGAGTACATGATTACTGACAGATCTAAAGCTAATTAAAGGATTCCAAACATAATTGAGCATCCCAGTAAAACAAGAAATAAACTTAATCCTGAGACAGAAACTAGTTTTTTGAACTCATACTTTTAAGTGTGTATTAGAGGAAATTTTTTTTTAAAAAATGCAGTTTCAACATTTATACGTGCTTTTCATTCTTTTTCATTGATTTGAAATACTGTGAGAAATACCTTAGAGATTATTGTAGACCATCTACTATTTTCATGCCTCAAGATCATTATAGCAAGAATGATTTTGAGAAGTAAAACTACAGAACCTAGCAAGTTAATTCCAATTTAGCAAACTTCTATGAGAAACTTGGCATATGGAAATGAGCCAGAAGGATAAAGATCTAAGGTGAGGAGAATTATAAAAATCCAATTATCACAATCAGCTGGTTGGAATGATTGGTCTATTTTGAAATTCACAGAGCAGTGTTGTTTTTTCAGGAGACTATGGTGTTAGGCTACAGAGGTTTTTAAAAAGTGTTTTGTGGGATTTTTGTAAGTGATGGAAAATATCACACAAATGCTTAGTTTGGCACCAGGAGTGTTTTTTTCCTAGAGAACAGCACGAATGATTTTCTTTTGTTCCGTGACCTGAAATATGGAACATTGTTTGAAGGAAGAAAAAAAAAGAAAAACGAAATGGCTCATGCAAAGTTTTTGTCAGATTAAAATTTAGATATGCTCTGAAGTTTTTCTATTATTCTATGATCAACGTATTGATGTGTGTATGTGAAGACTCATATACATATACAACGTGTGTGTACATGTGTGTTGGAATAATAGTTACAGATTCTCTCACTCCTGGAGGGTGAAAAATATTCTCCAAGTTTTCTCAACATTCTATTTTAAGATGGTTCACTGCTTTAAGGGTTCAGCTAAAATGAAACAAGTTTTAATAGTTAACACTTATACACTTACACCTCTAAAACATTTTGTGAACCTTCACCTTTTTCTTCCCATTAAAGTCTTCTTTAATTAATCAAAATGTCACTAGAAAACAAATAATACACTGATCATTTCTTTAAAATTTTTTGTTATTTTTCAGTTTTCCTTAATTAATGAAATAAATAAATTAATTCCTGTCTTCAACAAACAGTTACTGGGTGCCATGTATGTGAGGTACACCACCATGTGCTGGGAAAACAGACATGAAAAGGCTTCACAGACTCGTGGTGGTGACAGGCATGTATGTGAGTAATGACAGCTAAGGGCTACAGTCCAAGTCCTGATTCCTTGCTGTGCCCCATTTGGCCAAATGACCATGTATCAATTCTTCAATCTACAGTCTCGAGTATTTATTGACATGTAACATGCTTAGCACACAGCATGCCTTCCTAAGCTGAACATCTTCTCCAGAGGTCTGCTCCATCAGTGGGTCTTCTGGATTCTGCTGGGCACAGTGAGGATATGAATAAAGCTAGGATCCTGTGTCTGCCCTCAAGTTACCTGAAGACTAATTGGTAGGATAAGGTATAAAAGGGTCAAATGATAATCCAATGAAGCAATGCTAGAATATATGCACAGAACATAAGTGAGAAAATAATTCAGAGATGAGAGATTTGTGTAGTTTGCCGTAGTCCTGGGATGCTTCATGGAAGCAGCAGGATTTGAGCAGGATGTTGGAAAGTTTATATGGATGTAGGGAAGATGGAAAGCATATGGTAGGCAGTGGAGCCTGAGCAAGGAAGGGAAATGGACATAAGATGGGATGATGAGCAGAGGGATCATCTTTGGAAAAAGGAGATACGTTCTATTGTTTGGGTAGCAGTATTGAAGGCCTTCCTGAACATTAGTGAGTAGGAAAGTGATAGGATGGAAGCACGTTTTTAGATAAATTAACCCAGGGGTGGTATGTACAGTGTAAGGAAGAAAAGATGGGAATCACAGGGACAAGTTCATCCATCCATTCATTCATTCACAATAAATATTGTCTACTATATGCCAAGTATTATTTTAAGCTTTGAGAATACATCAGTGAACATGACAGGCAAAATTCTCTGCCCTCATAGACCTAGGCCCTCATGATTCCCTGGACTAGAGGCATGGCTATGGAAATGCAAGGGAGGAGTTGGATATGACTGATATCTAACGGTGGGCACAACAGGACTTCACGCCAGTGTGGATATAAGCAGAGACAGAGATAGGTTTGTTTTCCCAGAAAACAACTCTCTTTCTTTGGGTTATTGCCCCTTCACCACTCCAGTCATGCTTTTTGGTGGGGGTTTTCAAACCATGTATTCCACCTCTCTGCCAAAAAAGTGAGCACATGACTCTGGATGTGCCAATCATAGTACACTATTCCTCCCAGGACACTGTGATTGACCAATCAGAAAACTTCCCCAGATTTTTCTATGGAGCTGTTTAGAAAAGTCTTTCTTTTTCTTTCTTGAGTACAAACTTCTGTGACCATGGTTCCAGTTTCATAGTGACAGCTAACCGGAAAAGAAATCTATTACCGGGGGAGAGTTCTGTGGGCATTGAGCTCCTGACTCCAGATAACCCTGGGACCAGTTCCATCTTAGCCCTTGCTGCGTTCTAGTTACATGAACCAAGCTAGTTCCTCCCACTTAGGATTCAAAAGAGAGCTGAATACTACAAGAGAAAAAAGTAAAAGAAAATGACTCTTAGATATTTTTGACAAAAATTTAGAGGGAAAGCTGGATTGGGAAAGGAAGAGAATGATTTTACTCTGAAATGCTGATTTTATACGGCAGGGCATATATATGGAAATATTCAAGATACATTTGAAAATTATTCTCATAGAATATAATTACAATAGCTAAGAGTTACTGAGCTCCTTCCATGTGCCAAACACTACTATTTAGTCTTTATGTGCATTAACTCATTTAATCCTTCCAATATTCCATTTCATAGTTGAGGAAACTGAGATACCGACAGGTATTATAACTTTGCAAGGTGAACCAGTTATAGAGATTTGGAGCCCAGATGCAAACCCAGGTAGTCGGACTCGAGAGATCATCTTGAATTAAATAGAAGACACAGTGATATGTAAACTAGACCCTTTACATGTTTATGTTAAAATTGCTTGTGTATATGTGTGTATGTGTACATGCACACACATGTGCCCAGGTGTTTACTGGGGTACCCAAATGATACATATTTTTGAAGGATTCATAATCTTGTTTTAAAATTGATGCTTATGAGAGGCATAATCTTGCCATTTATGCACAATTAAACAGTGTATCCAGATCTATGCAGTATATGTTGGACACCTATTGGCTATCATCTCTAATAATAATGACCAAGGGACCTTAAATGTCAATGGATAGGAAATATCACTAAATGGAATCCATCCCTGATTTTCGATCATTCTCTATCTTGTTTACTTGCTGATTCTTTGTTCTGCACCTGCATCAAAACAAAACCTGTACCTATTTTTGCATTTGCATAAATTAACTTGTCTTGGATTTGTGCCCAAACAGATTTTGCAACACATCTATCCTAAGGTATATAGCCCACAACACACCTGTGTACTTGTTACATGCTGTAGACTGAGATATTTCCATCTGTCCCTGAATTGGTAGCTATGGTCCCTGCTGGAAAAAAGCAGTGTGAAGCATCCCACATTCTAAAAAGAGGCACCAATAATTAGGTCTGGACACATTGGTCAGGTTGAAGAATTGGATCTGCTCAACTCTCCAGTCCCTTTGAAGACTATATGCAGGGATAAGTTAGAGGAGGGAGGAAGGAAGGAATATCTTTCCTAGACTGTATTGAAGGAGGAAAGGGTAGTGGTTTCCCCTGTCTCATCCTTAACCATGGCTTAGGGATGTTCCAAGAGAATCAGTCTAAGAGATTGTGGCTGGAGCTTCAGTCCCTAGTTAGTGTCTACCAATCTGTATGCCTAACCTGCTGCTACCACTGGGGAAGCTGAACATTGCAAGAAAAACTTCTGTACAGACTCCCACATCAGCAGATGCTGCAAGCAGCCACCAATCAGGTCAGACCCAAGATGTCTTCCCACCATGAACAACTGTCAGTCCCTAAGAACAGCTCTGCACACTCCCCACCCCACCATATTCCTTCAACTGTATTCCTGAGATTTAACAAACACTTTTATAGAGGCACTTTCTACATGTTAGGTACTGTTCTATATGATTATTAACTCATTTAGTCCACATAATAACCCTATGATGTAGTTACTCTTATTTTCCCCATTTTACAGATGAGAAAGTTAAGTCATAGGGCAGTCAAGTAATTTTCTCAAAGTAACACAATTAGGGAGTAGTAGAATCAGACTGAAATAGGCAGGCTGGCTCCAGAGGTGCTTGTTTTAACCTCTAAGCACTAACCCCTCCACGACCACTAATCCCTCACCCATGGTTCACACACTTACACACCCTCTAAAGGCCAAGGTGAGAAGAGACAAAGACCCCTCACCACTCAAAGACCCTCAGGACACAAGCCTGGCTGCCCCTGGAGGGAAGGAAATAAAACCATTTTACAGTTGCTCCCTTTGAGTTCAGGCTGCTCCACAATCAAGTCACATATTAAAATAGCCATTGCCCCGATCACTCATCCCCAGCTGTTCTTAGTCATACCTTGCTGAAATACAGAGATGATCCAGAAGAGATGACCCCACACCCTTGTTCCGGTTTTACAATTTCTCCCCCAATAACTTCTTGCCAGTCAGACTCCCAACCATTCTGGTTCTCAAAATCTGACATAATTGTGGAAGGGAGAGCAGCTTCGGGGCGACATTCGGTGCCTTGGTATCCATGGTCACACCTATGAGAGAGCAGGGCCACACCAACAAATCACAGACTCATCTGTGACAGCAAAGAGCACCTGACCTACAACACTGCCTATGCCTCACCTTCGCTCAGGTCTCATCATTCACACTACATTTTTCTCTACAGTCTTAATCTGTGTATGTGATAGTAACAACCTTCAGTTTTTCATGCCACAAATAAACAAACAGAATCCTTTCTAAAAGAAATAATGCTGTAAGGGTAGAATTTAGGCATCAATAGTAAAGAAGAGGAATATAGATGTGTGTGTTTGTATGTGAGGGACGGGAGGGAGGGGATAACGAGATTTTCTGGTAGCCTTAACAAGTCATATACAAATGTTTTTCTACTCAGCCAATACATAGCTCTGGCCCCATTTTATAGCACCTCTTTCTAATTAAATTACTCCAGCGTTAGAGTCTTTAAGCATTCAAGTGTGTTCCTATCTCATCCTCATTAGTGATAATCACCATCTCCCCATGTATACAACCTTGAATTTGTGGCGAGGTGGTGTAGGAGAATGTGTAGCAGCTGTTTGATTAGTACTTTAAGACTGTCTAGGGGAGGAAAGCGAAACAATAGCAAGGCCCTCTTAACTATCAAAGACGACTTTGGGGTTAATTAATAAACCCTGAAATTTAAACCCAGGAGGCCTCGTATTAAGGTTAGACATTGAGATTTGGAATATACGGCTTTGTACTTATTGAAATGTTACAATATCTTTTACACCTAAAATAAGAAAAGGAAAGGAGGATCATTTTCTTCCGGCTATTTCATTATTTATCATTCTATTCATATATTCTGTCAACAACTACTATGGTAGCCCTACAAACATTAAGTCCTGAGAAGCAGGGACCAGATCCCACACTTTCTGGACACACGTACCTGCATATCCCGTGATCACACCAGCCGTGTCCACTGCACATGTTTGGGCACTGCTGCCCAATGTAGATGCTGTCCAACGCCCACTCATCTTGGGCTGTGTAGTAGCTCTGACTCCAACGGAAGCGGGTGGCACTGGACCTAGAAACAAGGCAAAATGATTTAAAAAAGTTTCTTTTCAACTGATTATGTGATGATATAGACAATATCAAAGTTCAAAATCTTTTAGATAACAAATTTTCTGGAACTTTTATTTAACGACCACTCATTTTTCTTTAGTTTAATTTGCACTCAATTACTGTGAACTTCAACAATTCTATCATAAAAGAAAGCTAAAAAGAAATCTGCCCGTACAACCATCTTAATTTAATTTGATAAATTTTAAAGGAAAACAAAATATCAGATTTTTGTAGCACAGAGATTTGCTGCCAGAAGAGAAACATAGTAAGAAATATTAAAGATAAAGATATTTGCTAAAGTGAGCCCTTCTTTCACAGATGAAAATGTAAAGTGTTTAACTTAGAGTAACACAGGTTCTTAGAATAAATTTATCAGTAGTAATAGGAAGGAAGACTTTCAGCTAGCTCTCAATAAACAACAAAAGCTTTTGTTTGGAGATATTGTTTTGGGGTTGAGGGGACATGATACAATCCTATATTACAAGTAAGAACATCTGGATGCTAAATTCTGCTTATAATTTCTGAAACGTTAACTTGCTTGGGTTTTATGGACGTGCTGATGTTAAGTGAAGATAACAAGTTAAGCAGCCCATTACACAGAAAGACTTGGGAACTTGGATCATCTAAACCATATATAAAATCCATATATAAAATCTGAAGAAGATATTTTGAGAGCAAGGTCAAGAAGGCTTCCATTCACTGGCCACCACAATTTTTTTTTTTTAATCACAGTATATTTTTCACCTCTAGGAATTTTCAGGGAGTTGTAATTAGTTCTTTTTGGTCAAGGTGCAAAAAAAAAAAAAAAAAAAAAATAGAAGAAGAAGAAAGAAAAACCATTTTCAGAATTAATGTGTCTGCCAAGTTCTGTTGATTAGGCCCTCTCCAAGCACACTATCCACGTATACATTTGATCTTAACAGCTTTGAATGATCCCTTAAAGTCTACTGTATCAATTATCCACATATTAAGTACTCCCTAAGTACATAACAGACTGTTTAAATCCAGACTAAGCCTTTATTGTTTACTTTACCAGTGAGCTGTGGCTAATAGGTTGCACCTTCATTCCTAGTAGGATAATTCCAGAATTCACTGAGGTGTACCAGTAGACACAGGTTTCCTGCACAGCAGTGCTCCTCATGGTATGTGTAATGGGACAGATACCCTCCTCTATGACAATAGTTTATATTTGTAATCAAACAGCCATCACAATTTTCACAGTCCCATTAAGAAATGGAAGGAGCCCTGGTGGTGCAGTGGTTAAGGTTTTGGCTGCTAACTAAAAGGTCAGCAGTTTAAACCCACCAGCAGTCGCTCTGCAGGAGAAAGACGTGGCAGTCTGCTTCCATAAAGATTACAGCCTTGGAAGCCCTATGAGGGCAGTTCTACTCTGTCCTGTAAGGTTGCTAGGAGTCGGAATCAACTCAACAGCAACAGGTTATTAAGCAATGGTTCTTGGAAAAACATACTATGAAAGTAGATACATTCTCTTAGATCATAGAGCCCTACAGAAAAGAAGTAAATAAGAAACATGTCATGAGTGTCATGAAAAGAGATGACTATATTCTTTTAAGATTGATTACAATCTTTTGTCTCAATAGTTTGCATAGAAACGGAATAAAATAGGTGCTCAGCAAAAGCTTGCTAAAAGAATGAGTCAATGAGCAGATGAACAGGCCAAAGAGCAACCAGCATCTGACTTCAGTAGGTGATAGAAAGAAGAATGTGCTAGGAGAATGTCCCCTGACCCCCAGGACCCCGGCTCTGCAACTTTTCAGCTCTGTGACCTTCAGTGAGAAATGTAAGTCCTCAGAAGCCTCTAGTTCCTCACCTCTCAAATAAAGGAAATAGGCAAACTGATTTCTAAGTTCCCTTCCAGCTCTCAAATATAATGATTCCTCTGGTGGGGTGTTGTCTAAGGTGACCATTTATTGTCTTTGCAGTTACATACTTAAACAAAACCTATGGCATACATCATTTTGAAGTTTTGATACTTCCAACTTTAAAATGGGACTGGGGTTTTTCAGAAATCTGTTCTTTATTTCCCAGTTTATTAATGTTTCTAAATAGTCACATGCAGATACATTCTAAATTCTTTTCTAATTAAACCTTACATGTATCTTATAAACTATTGAAAAATATATTTCCTTAATTTTTTAAAATGGATTATTCTATTTAAAACTACAACCTACAGTTTAATGTGCTGGAAGGAAGGAAAAAGAGGTTGAATACTGACTATATTTTTAGTAAGAAACAAGATTAGTCGTGTGAGCAATCTCCAGCTGGTCACATGTGTGAACACAAGGTGTGATCTCGCTGATGTGCAGCTGCGTCATTGCTAAATGTCGCCCTCAACACAAATATTTACTTTGCCAATTCTCTTTCTTTCTCTATCTCTCTGCCTTCTCTGTCTTTCTCTGTGTCTCTCTTAAAACTAAGTACTATTTGAAAGAAAATCACGTTCACTTTGGAGTCTGAAAGTGGGAGTACTGTTCTGTGGTGAGGGTCATGAAACAGAGTGGACTTGCATTTAAAATACAAACTCTATGGAATCTCAAAGGCAACACAGCTTGACAGTCTTTTCTTTATTTGATTTTTCCCCCACATAAACTTCAAGACAGAAATAAAGTAGCATTGAGTCATCTCTTGATAGTTAGGTAACCTGAGGAATCAAGGTAAATGAAGGCTGACGAAATTGCATTTTCCACCTTCAGAGTTACTGTAATTACATTTACCCAATTATTCTGAAACTCATTCAGTCATTAGGTATTGATTTGTTTATGAAGTCAGTAACTGACGGCTGTTTGGGTCTCATTAGGCCCTGTTCTTATGTAAATGTATCTCGTAAAAAACGAAATAAATTTTCATTGGGTAACAAATGCTCAGTTCATACACAACGTAATTTCTCTGAGCAGGTGTATACATTCAATATTTCCACTCTAAATTGTCCTGTTTAGTGAATTTTCCAAAGTTAACAGATCTTTGATAATGTAGGGACCACATTTGCTTGTATGCATTCAATTTATAGTCGCATATGTTTGAATAAAAACAGAACATTAGAAAAGATATTCCCAAAAGGAATACTGTTTCAAACTAAACTGCACTCCCTTTTCACAGTCCTTGAGAAAAATACGTCATTTGAAAAAGTTTGAAATGAACACAATCGATAAAGTTACCAAGAGTGCCAAGGAGAATAAATGTACTTTACCCTTAGAGCAGAGATTTTAAGCATTATCCAAATCCAAAAACAATGACAATAGCCAGTTGAACACATTTTGTTTTTTGAAATACAGCAAATACTGTTCATGTATTAGTCAGCAGGAATGTTAAAATAAATATCCTACTGGGGTGTTTGTTTTTTAAAAATATTTTCACACTCTCTTTTCCCAGCTTTAAAGGAAATTTGGAAAAAGCAGAATTAAATTTTTTAACTTGCAAGTATTTATAAGGCATAGGGAAAAATAATCCAGTAGATTTTTTGTATGTAAAAAGAGATACCTTGTAGTAAAACGTCTCTTTAGTTCATTGTAGCACATGAATTAAATTGTATTAATTTATTGTATTAATTGTATTAATTGAATTAAATGAATTCATTGTAGCAATGAATTAAAATTCATTGTGACTCCTCAGCATTTAATAAGCATACCTACTACAAGGAAGGCACTATGCTGGAGCCAAAGAGTTTAAGGGTCAATACATTTCCTCTCAAGTGTCTAATTAACACTGATGAGGACTGAGCTTTTGTGACTATATAAAACTTCAGCTCGGGTGTGGTATCTTTTGAACTAAGAAATAACATTGCAACAATAAATTTGAGTCTAAAATAACCTGAAAAGGTTTTTTGACAAAGACAGCCCTTCTTAGGTATAACTTAGTATTACAATAAAGAAAAATGTGAGTTAATAATGTTTCTGGAGATGAAAAGACATCTTTATAATAAACTATCGATACTTACCTTACTACAATAATTTTAAAATCGTACATCACATGTTAATACAAACTCATAATTTTTAAATAATGAGGAAAATATATTTAATTGTGAAATAATGGGGAAAAAACTCAGTAGCTCTGCACCCAGTATGGCCAGTATTTCAATTGTTTGATGTGTTGTTTTTCCATAATCTTGATCATATATGCTAGGAATGTAATTAAAATTAAATAAAAGTCCTGATTATATTCCCAGCAGTAGACATGAAAAGTATAATGTTAGAGAAAATAGCGACTTGTTACACAAAGCATTAATAGTGTACCTAGGAAATGACTCACAGTTGGATATAAAAAATCTGTGGAAATCAAATTTCAAGTATTTTATTCCAACTGACAGAATGATGCATCCTTAAAAACAACAAGGAAGAATTCTTACATAACGCAGTAATTCAATCTTCTACTAAAGGAGTTGTAAAAATAATCCTAGGTTGTTATCTGCCCAATTGTTTTGGTAGAGTGTTATATAAAATAATCTCAGAATAAATTACTTAATAATTTTCTCTTTTACAAAAAGGTTCTTGGAAGGCAGGTACCACAGAAAAATAAAAATTTTGTCTCATGATTTTTCTTCTGCATAAATCACAGAATCTTAGAATTCTTGAACTGTGAAGGGCCTTTAAGATAATCTACTTAAACCTCTTCATTATACTCCTAAGGAAATAGGCTTGAAGAGGCTGTGAACTGTTAAAATCATGTGGTTAATTAATCATTGGAGGGGCTACACTGAGAACTCAGGCCTTCTAATTTCTAGTCCAAAGCTCTCTCTTGAGTGAGCGTATCTTGTCCTAGGGCTTTAAATACTATCCATAGCTCCAAACTCAAGTCTATCTGTCTTCTTGTCATTTCCACTTGGATAGATAATTATCTCAAACTTCACATCACAAAAATGGAGCTCCTAATTCCCTGCCCTCAAATCCATTCCTTCCTAAGTCTTCCCCATCTCAGTCAGTGGGACCACCATCCAACCAGTTTCTCAAGCCCAGAATTTAGACTTAATTTTTGAATCTTCCCTTTCTCCCCCAGACCACATTTAATCTATCAGTAAGTTCTGTGTGATTAAAAATACCCTTCACAAATGACAGCTCTTGCCATCTCCTCGCTAAAATCATACTCCAAGCCACCAACATCGATTGCCTGGACTGTGGCGTCAGCCTCCTTACTGGTCTCTCTGTCTTCACTCTTTCCCCTAGAGTCTATTCCTCACGCAGAGGCCAGAGTAATCAATCTAACACAAAAGAAGGTCATATTTGGGAAAAAAAATATGGTGCTTTTCTCTTTCACATTATCAAAAGTTTAACCTTCTCCCTAGTTAACTGAGGCTTCTGCTTCCTGGGGAATGTTTTTTAATTATTACTAAAGAAATGCAAAGAAAGAAAAAAAAGTAGATATTAAGCTTTTGACATAAAAGGTAGGACTTCGCAGCAAGACAACAGCCTTGCAAACAACAGCCTTGCAACAAAAAATCTTGAGATGGGCTTCTTAAAATTCCTGCATTATTCCCTTTTGTATGTCAAAATCTAGAGAAACTGAAACATTGAATTATCCCGTAAAAAGAAAAAGTTGGGCAAAGGGGAAGTCAGAAGAAGCTGGAAAAATTCTGAAACCAAATTTCCATATTTTTTATTAAATCAATTTCTCGTATCTCCTCAGTTATAAAAGAAAGATATAGGTATTTTGATAAAAAAATAATAAACCTCTTGCCATTGTGTTTAACTCTTCTTCATATTCAAGTCATGGTAATATAAACAGTAAAAGTGAAAGTAATGGACATATCTAAAAATGTTATCTCTCACCAAGTTTTCTGGGGAAGAAGTACTGTGACTCTTCTCCACTGTATGAACTCACTGGCATGGTAAATACTTGCCGAGGTAAATTCCTGACAACTTGGCATACTTGGAAGGCATTCCTAAAAGAGAGTCAGGCAAAAATCAAGCTCAGCTTCTATTTCCCCTAGGGCCAATATATTTACCTACCCACCACAAATGAAAAAGACCTTAGAGAAATCTATGTTGTAATCTTAACCACTTGCAATACGGAAGAAATCCATAATTTTTCCTAATGCGAAGCTAAAATATTTGGGAAATAATTGCAAACACTGGCATTTGTTAAAATTATTATATCACTACCGTATTTATGAAATTACTGCAGTGCCAGATTACTGGTATACATGTATGTGTGTATGTGTGTGTGTGTGTGTGTGTGTATATACACACACACACTCTATTCCAAGATATGAGTTTATGTATTTCTTTTTACTTTTTCTTAAGACAAGAGAAACTACATTCATAACATGGTCTACCACTATAGGGTAAGAAGAAAGACACAGACACATATATAGAGGAAGAAAGTTAGAGAACATAACACCATCCTGGATTATCCAGTCTTGAAGTTATTCCCATTTCTTTTCTTATTTTCAATACCCTTTAGCATCAGACAGTGAAGAATGTGGTATTCTTGCAATCTGTTCCTGACTTTGCTCAGATGTCAATTTTAAGTTACAAATAGCACCATTTCTTTTCAACCAAGTCTAAACTTTTAGAACAGTAATTTCTTTGCTTCCTACGTAAAAAGGAAGATGTTGCCTGTCATGGGTTTCAGAGAAAATCAACTTACTTCCTGGACAAGGTGCCAGGTGAGGCCGTGGTTGGTTGAGTACTCCAGTTTCACCTGGTTGTCCATGTGTGGAGTGTATTTCTGGCCACATCCCATCACCAAACTGAACTGAATCATATAGGATGCTCCTATCTGCATTGATTGTGTTTCCACATAGCGCATACTTGAAGCAAGTTTAGAATCTCCTGTAAAACTGAAAGAGGCACAGAAGTGGAAATCAGAAAATTCAAAAAAGCAATGTATTAAGTAAGGTTTTCACTTCATATATACACCAAAATAGTTTCATTTTATTTATTTAAACCTTTCTGAATTCTGGAATGGATGTAAATAAATCTAATAAATACAATTTAAAACAATTTGCCTATCAAAGAAGCAGGGTTTTTTTTTTTTTTTAATATTTAGAGTTGTCAGATGTGTCTGAAAATGGATACTCACATATTGCTTATGAGTATAAATATTCTGTCTTTGTAATCTCACTCTGGAATCTATTGTAATGAAAAAACCCTAAATTCAGAGATAATTGTATAAAATACAATGAGTATTGCAGGATGGAATGCTTAAATAAACTGGTATAGCCACTTGACAACATATCATCCATGTTTCAACATTTATGAAGGTAATATGATCACATTAAAATGTATATGATAAAATAAGTTGAAATAATTCACAAAGTGATGCATTTAAGAAAAGACTTAAAGGAAATTCACCAGAATGTTAGCAGTGGTTGTGTCTGGTGGTAGGAAATCAGATTATTTAAAATTTTTCTTTCTGTTTTTATTTTCCAAAGTCTTTAATGTTCATGCATGTCTTAGTCATCTAGTGCTGCTCTAACAGGAATACCACGAGTGGATGGCTTTTAACAAGAGAAATTTATTCTCTCATAGTCCAGTAGGCTAAAAGTCCAAATTCAGTGTATCAGCTCCAGGTGAACGCTCTCTCTGTCAGCCTTCTCATCCATGTTCCCCTGGACTAGGAGCTTCTCCACGCTGGGACCCCAGGTCCAAAGGATGCACTCTGCTCCCAGTGCTTCTTTCTTGGTGGTATTAGGTTCCCAATTCGCTGCTTGCTTCCCTTTCATCTCTTGTAAGGTAAAAGGTGGTGCAGGTCACACCCTAGGGAAAGTCCCTTTACATTGGGTCAGGGATGTGACCTGGCTAAGGGTGGTGTTACAATCCCACCCTAATCCTCTTTAACATAAAATTACGATCACAAAATGGAGGACAACCACACAATACTGGGAATCATGGCCTAGCCAAACTGATACACACATTTTTTGAGGGACATAATTCAAACCATGACAATGCATAAATACTGAAAAAAGTCATAATGTAGATTT